ATTTGGGTTAGGTTTGCTTGCGAACTCAAGTATTACCTTAGGGTTACTTGCGAACTCAAGTATTTCCTATAAGTTTCCTAGGTTGGACGCAAACTAAGAACTGATAAATTATGGCTAGGTTAGGTGCAAACCATGTATCCTTATTCAGGCTGGGTGCAAACAAGGCACCCTTGCTTTCGTCAAATGTTTCTTATTGTTGACCCGTAAGCTGTAAAAAAAAAAAAAAAAATCAAATCCCATATGTACATAAATAATTTTAAGAAGAATGTCCTTAAATTTTTAATCTGAGTAATGTGCAAGGTGGACTTACCATAGTTTCAGACTTCGGGTTTTGGAGTGGCAACCTGTTAATAATTTTACATAATTGATTCAAAGAAGAGTTAGTTACCGGCTCTCTGTTTCATTTGTAAATTTTCACTTATAAGCGGCTTGGATCAATTCTCTTTTGAGTATTTTTTGATTTAATGAATGAACCTGGTGACTTCTCATTGCTTATTAAGCAAATTAAGGTCAGAAAATCACTTTGCCAAACTTTCGTCAGTAGGACAGATTGTTAGGTCCAGCCGGTCCGCACGGGATCGGCATTTTCGCAAAGACTGCGGGATCTCCGCCTCCCGCGGAGATCGGTGGCCCGACCGCTCAAGAAGAGCATTTTAGGAAGCTTTTTTGAGGGTTTTGAGAAGGAAATTTGAATGTAGGGACTGTTTAGGGATTTCCTTTTGATTTGTATGCATTAAATAGTTGGTTTTCCTAGGGTTTGAGCATCTTGAATTTGGCTGAAATTTGAGATCTCTTAGATTTAGGTTTTCTTTGGGCTCTAGCGGCGTCTAGAGATCTGGGAGAGATCGATCCTCCTCTCGAATTGAGGATCAATTGTATCTTGCTATTTTATTCATCGTCTAGTGAAATATAAGTTGTGCTTTGAGTTTTCCTTCAGTTTTCCTCTAAATTTCTGCTGTTTGACTGCTGTACACAGCAGATTGCTATGTTTTTCCTGCTGTGGACAGCCATTTGGCTGCTGTTTGTCCACCAATTTGGGTTAGGTTTGCTTGCGAACTCAAGTATTTCCTATCAATATGCATCCACAACCTTTAAAAAAAAAATTGAAAAACTTATTTGTTTGAATTGTCCTTTGGATAATTTTTTCTAGGAAAAAATTTCTTTCATTTTTAAATATTTTAATTATACCTGATTTTAAGAAGAGCCAAGAAGTAGGCAATTTTAACCCAAGGGATTATTTGTTTTCAATTTTATATGATTAAGAAAGAAGCTTTTTCCTAGAATTTTGATTTTTACAATCTGAAGGTTACAATCATATTTGTCAAAGGCAAATGGCACACTATGGCGTAAAGTTCCGCATGGAGCTACAAGGCATAGCGCACAACATGGCCCAAGTCATTTTAAACATGACGCATAATATTAAATAATTATAAATAAAATATATATTAATATTTAATACTATTAAATAAATTATAATTTTAAATTTCAAACCCTAAAAAATGGTTCATGCTATTTGGCCTTGCACCATGTGCTATTGCTCATGTGTGACGTAAATAGTGTGCACATTTTTAAACTAATATACAACGCCACACAAATGACGCCGTAGGTGCGCCACGCCACGCTGTGCATCATGGTGCATGCCATTTTGTGTCATTGACATGCATGGTTATAATTAATTGATATTATTTTATTTTATTTTTGTTGAAGTTTGTGGATGACCCATTATCAAATGTTTATAGTAAATGTTTACTTTAAAAAAGAACATTGGTTTTGAATTTATTAATGGGCTTTCGGTGTTTCTATATAAATATAAATTTCATGTGTGATGAGATTGATCTTTGCTTCTGTGCCTACCTCTTTTATGGTTGGCAAATGTTACTAATAATATTTCTGTAATCTTTTTTCATGGTTGTCAAATGTTACTAATAATTTTTCAGTAATCTTAATAATAAATGCATCCTCATTTTGAAATGACTACGGAATAATTGCTAAGACGACCCTAGTAATAAGGATACGATGGTGCTACCCCTGATTCTCAAGTTAACTTGTCCTCGTTTTCTATTAATCTTTTTGAAACTTTGGGTTTTTGCTTCCATATTGTTAATGTTGAATTTTGGAATGCCTGAATTTTAAAGTTCATGTATATTCCCTTTTTTTTTTAATAAAAAGCTGGGACCTTCTCATTAAAATGATAGATAAAAAGGATACAAGAGGATATTACAATTTATAAAAAGTACGTGAAAGACTGATAATATTAGGGAGGAAAATATAAATTTAAACATGTATATATCTAATAAAAGGCTTCTTGGGATTATATGTAAAGCCTAAATTCTTCATATTGTCCTTTGATAACTTAAGCTTTTTTTCCCTTGCAAGTATGGATCCAAAGTAGGCTAGAGGAATGGTGTTAGACCTTCTCTCATTAGTTCACAATATTGCTGAAAGAAAAATGTTTTTGAAGTAGATCTAAAGAGAAGCTTGAACATAGTTATCTTTAAGAAGTGAAGATGACATTAATAAAATCAGCTAAATTCTTGATGTCGAAAAACAGTATATTATAAATATTTGTCTGAATGAAGAATTAGTGGTTCATCCTAGTAATAAGGAGGCTTGACCGCTCTAATATTGCAGTCGTCTTTATCATCATTGCTAGCATTTTTCCATCTAATATGTTTTGGCCGTAGAAATCTTTCGCAATTTGATGTGAAGTTCATATATATTGGCTCCTTTGGAAATCAAATATTTTTGGAGTGCTGGCATCTCATTTTCTTCCACTGACTTCATCATGTATTGTCAGATTTAAGATAAGTGCAATTTTGTTTCTTTTTTTTGGTTTTTTTTCCTTCTTTGGTCAATGTCGAAGTAATTAGATTGAGGAATTTGATTTAAAAACCTTGTAATGTGCCCCATTACATTTGATTCACATGGAATTTTGCCCTAAGGTTTTACATTTACAGTAATATTATTACCATGAATTTTTTGCTGATTATCTTTTAATGAAGGAATTTTACTGTACATATTTAGCATGCAGATAATCATTATATTTGTTAGGTAACATTTTTTTCCTGATTATTTTATCATGCAAAAGAATGCCTGTTTGTCTTGTAACAGGCATGTATTGGTACAAGGGTGGTTGCTAGTGAGAGTCTATCAGCAATTAGGAAAGATGTCCTATCAAAGTGTTACGGTATAGTACAATACCTTGAGATATTCTGATGTCATTTTGCAATTTCGAATAATATATGGCCAATGTGTCTGGATGTTCGATTTAGATTTTCAATTATACGTCTTTTTGTTTGTAGGGGGCGACATTACTAGGAAAAAGAAGCTGCTTAAGAAGCAGGTCATTTGCTTTTCATGCTCAAATTACCACCTCATTCCATGCTAGTCTTATTAAATTGGTATAATCTTTGAACAGATTATCTCCAAGCTCATTGAAGTATGCAGTACTAAAAACCTTGAATCTATCTTTTCATTTTGCATTTGGAATTTAAATTAATTATAACGTCTCATTTGCAGTTTATTCTTTTGGTCACATATGGATTTTGTCCACGGTAAATTTTTTTTTTCTTTATAAGTTTATCAAATACAAGAATACTTTGTTGAAATAGTAATGACTGTCCGAGAAATAATCTATATAGTGAAATTTTCTCAGCCCCACAAAAAGGATTTATTTCATGGATTTGTCGGAGGGAGTAAGTCTTAAATTTTAATCAGTAAAGGAATAAAATCTCCAGCAGTGATAGAGAGGTGGTGGCCAAAATAAATAGTTTGGTCAATAACAGTGATAACTAAACAAATACTAAATCCGAGGACATAGAGCACAAGTCAACATAACTCTGGGACAGCACAACACTTGAATATGAGCCAAAAAAAAGAGGAAGCAAGGCAGGCGAGGACAAATCTCTAAACGGAAAGTACCATTTGCAAAGGAAATCATCATTGGCAGATGCCTGAACAATTCCCCATGCAGTGAAGGGCTCATGGGAGAGTGAAGAAAATGATTTCGACTGGAAATTTCTGTTATCAAAATTAGTTAATTGATTGCGAGCACATTTTATTGTAAAAAAAAAAGATCCATGCACTTGAATAATTGACTCTTGTGACATTTTCATAACTAAAAAAAATTTCACTTTGCAAATCCAGGTTAGTAAATTCTAAAATATTAACTAGTTAACTTGAATGAACTTATCGAATCATAAGTCATGTAATTGGAACAGAAGTATTTTCATTCGTGTTTGGAATGGAAATTATTTACAACGCTGAGGTGCTTGCAGTGTTTTTTGAAGGCTAGTTGATCAGTTTCTGTGGCATTTGGACAAGGAGAGGTGATGTAGTGTGGTCATGGCTTGACGATTAGTTTATGATGCTTTTACATTTTGGTCATGTATTAGGATAAGGTTGTCTTTTTTATTATGTTCAGTAAGCCTCTTATTATTAATAGAGTTGCCATTGGGATGAGATGGAAAATAATGATGGAATGATGATGATTTTCTCCCAAGTCTCCCTTTTTCTTTCTCTTTCCTCCATTTCCCTTTCCTCTCCTCTACAACCCAACCCCTTTCTCTTTCATTACAAGAAAATGGCTGTTTACCAGCTGAATTTCTGGGGTGGCATCCTAACCAGTGTAAATTACGCTGGAAAATAAGCGGTGGCATATCCGGCGAAAAACCGCCGTAAAATTACCAGCGGAAAAAAACGGTCAGTTTAACCACCGGAATATATGAAACCGGCGTGAAGCATCGGTGAAAAATACACCGAAGATTACCAGCGTAATTTCTAGCGAATATTTCGCTGGCTTACTTAAACCTGACGAAATGTATATGGCGTAATCCTTTAAAGTGCATAATGTTGGTCATTAAAAGAGAAGCATAAAGTTAAGTGTTAAAGAAATGAGAATTCTTAGATAAAATGGCGGCAATGACCTAATTAGAATGAGTGAATGTTTTAGAATTCTCTAGTCAATTGTTCTAAGCTTATTTAAAATGATGGGGATATTATTAGAAGAATTCAAGTTGGATGGTTGAAGTGGATGAATCCATCGTGCATATTGTGTGATAGAAAAGTATTCCTCAAACTTAAATAAAAATTGGCATTAAAAAAGTAGAGGTATTATATTTCACTTATGTTAAGAAAGGTGTAGAGGTATTAGATTTGGCTTATGTCGATTAATTCGTCGGAATATCTTTGGCGCAAACAATGTTATCATTTAGGCACCCCCTTTAAGACATATACACGTCTTTCTTGGCGTGGTAGGATTAAAGGCCATGGTCGCGGTGTCACCCGACACCAACTGTACACGCCTTTCTTGACGTGGCGGACAGGCTAAGACTCTTTGTATTTTCTCTAAACGGGGGAGACGTCGGGAGGCTGCTAGATTTTTTTTGACAGGGTACCTGTATGAAATAACACCATTCGATTTACAAATAAAATTAAAATCCATCTATTTTCCTTCAACATATTTTACAAAAATATCGAATATCTTTATATTATATATAGGTTATATTATAGATATTAAAAATCGAACAAGTTGGGTGTATAACCGATCAACGTAAGGACGAAAGACGTTAAGTCGTTAACATATGAGTTTGTTTATGGGGTAAATTTGTTCATTCAAACAGTTTGTCAACTACCCAGCTTCATCTCAGATGAAAAGTTTTGATGTCCATGTTCTAAACATAAAAATCAATTGCACTTTAGACTAGATGATGTAATTGTTGATCTATACTGCAGAGGGTTTATACCAGAATATTAGTATTGGAGTTCTCTTAGTGAGTTCGAGCTACATTTTGACTCTCGATGCAACCCATCTACAAGTTCAAATATAGCTGATAAAAAAAATATCCGACTAGATCTTGAAGACTTAGTTCATGATGCAACTGGAGCACCATTTAAACAATATACATAATATATCAAATAAGGAGACACGAATATTATATCCCCCGTGAATGTTTTAATCAATTTGTTGAGCTGCTTAAGGAAACCAACCCAGCAGATACCATAATTCCTAAGATTTATATCGAACAAAAAAGGGGTGCACCAAGGTTTCTGAAGGATTGTCGGCGGATTATCCGCCGGAAGCAGCCACACGATGAAATGGAATCGAGTTTCCGGCAAAAACTTTCCGCCGGTATTTCCGACGGATAATACGCCGGATGTTTTCGTCGTTAACTATCCGTTGAAACCATCCAGTAGATTATCCGCCAGCATTTATGGCGGAAAGTTTATGCTGAAAATTCCCGTGCAGAATACCCCGGAATTCCTTCCAAGAAAACGACGTCTTGATTTCGGTTTTTCTGCCGGTAAGTCTGCCAAAAATATTTCCGGCGGATTTTTTTCGACGGAATAAATTTTCTGACGCACAAATTATCGTCGGACAACTTTTGGCCAGAAATTTACCAGGGGGATTTTATCGGCGAAATTTCATGTTAACTGGCAAATTTATATTGTTTCCTATCCATTTATATTATTTCCTTTTCATCTCCTATCTCCTTCCTCTACTATCTCTCTATATCTCCTGGCCAATCTCTTCTTTTTCTCCTCTCATCATCAGTGCCACCACCTCATCATCACGACCACCACTCCAAGGAAAGCTCATGGGCATCCATGGGCATCCATGGGCATCCATCATCAACCAAGTGCAAGCTCACGACAAACTCCCCCTTCTCCATGTCTCCTCCATCCATTGAAGAACTTTGGTTAGGCATTAGAGCATAGGAACCCATTTGATGTGATTCCAAATCCAAACTCATGGATTATGATGGTTTCAAGAGGTTAGGCCATAACACCTTCCACAACTCACAGGCGAGTGACCTTAATAAGGTGTTTCCTAAGTGAGATAATTTCATCTAGTGCTAAGAAATTAGACTAGTGACTAGTGTATTTCCTTAATTGGAGGGGTACTTCTATATAGGATGATTAGTTATTTTTTTGTGATAATATATAAAGTGCACAGTAGTTGGAGATATAAGCAATGCATATTAGCAAACAAGTTAGATCACGGTGAAAGATGCAAGTTTGAGAGTAGTAAAACTTTGAGAAAGGAGGGTGATAAATCCAACTATGAGGAAAGAGCATAGATAATGTTGAGGATAGAATAGGAAGTAGTGAAATTAGATTGTTTCGAGGTTACCTATACTACAAACTCAAATAGTTTAATTATATATTTTTAAAATACTTTATGGGTATTTATTTGAGACAGATCTATATAGCAAGTTCTTAAATGCAATGAAATTTGAAAAAATCCAATAGATATTAACTTTTCATCATAAGCAAATAGAAGACTATTTCCTAACCCATGGCCATTTCTTGCATAAATGGATCCAAGTTCTTTTTTGGTTAATAATTATCTACTTGCAAAAATTCTGAGCATTGAAATGATATCCTCATCATTCCTAATTTACAAAAAACTTGTATCTTTGTCATCCCTCTCTCATTTCCTACTGGCATATCTTCTAAGTTAACGCAGAAGTTCTTTGAGTATATGCATGTACAAAATGCTGGAAATTCTATTAAGGCTTCATTTAGGACGGCTTTGTTTCTGCTTTGTAAAGTTGCTTTCTTGTACGAGAAAACTGCTTTTCAAAGCATAAAAAAGTCGTCCCAAACGAAGCCTAATTCTCTCATTGACAATTAAGTTGTTAAGAATTCATATTGCATTTACAAGGCTCCAAAATTTTGATCAGGCCGAAGGCAAGAAGAGAATGAAAGCAATTGGCAAGGTCGAAGTGCCCCAAGAAGCCTTCATGGCTGTCCTGAAACTTGAGAAGGAGGTGATATGATAACTGTGATCGTATTTAATCCATGGAGTTGCTTCGTTTGGTCACCGTGGAACTTCCGTTCAGGGTTTGGCTCTCTCATCATTTCACATGAAATCCTCTTCATTGATCTCCCTGTGGAAACTCACCACCATATTTTATTGACATAAGCAGTCCTATGGTGAGCATTATTTCACATTTTGTTCCCTTTTGCAAGAGTTTCTTTAGGAAACTTCTAATTATGTACTATTATTATCTTGTATTGATTGTATAAAATTTGATGGATCCACAAAAAAAAAATGTACCCAAACATTCTAATGAAACAAATTATGGGTATCTCAAACTCTTAGATTTATATTGAGATTAGTGTTCGATACTAATAAGTGTTTTGAGATTTATTCTGATGTATTTTGTATTTGAGTATGTTATAATTTTTTCTTTCAAAAAATTAAAGGGTAAGTTTTTTTTTTTTCTTAAGTTGTATAGTTTTAGTTTTAGTTGGTTAGTCTTAGGTGGTAGTTTTAGCTAATGTTAACTGCAAATCTCAAGTTTTTTTTTTTGTTTGTTTTGAGTTTTTGTGAAACAATTTTTTCGTTCATGAAAGTGGTGTTTGTTCGGTCGAGATAATGTTACTTACAAAGAAAATATGAGATTTTGTGAAAATATGGTGATTGAGTTTGTGATAAAATTTTTGGGAGGATTATATGATGTTATTTAAAAAATGTGAAGTTTTGTAAAAAGTTTGTTTTAATTTTCTTTTATTGCAAATGCACTTAAATTTAAAAAAATTTGGGTGCACGCAAGTTTTATTATTTTTAGAGAAATCAAATCTAGTCTTTGTTTAATCACTAGATGTCATTGGATGTTTTGTCAATTAGTAGAATGCAAGCATGAGCTCTGGAAGTTCTTGGATTGTTCTGATGTATGGTGGTCAGTTATGCATGGATGCTAAGTATGCACCGATGTATATTGGGGGTAGTTATTTCCCTATGCATATATCAAGTAACTCGAAGGTATAACAGCTTAAGTTGATTGTTCTCAAAAGGGCTTTAGAATGACACGTCAAAGTATATTGTAACGTTAGTGTGTCGTTGCCAGTAGGAATGAGTTTATTGCTTGTAATGTTGAGGATGATGATGTTTGCGATATGGTGCTATTGCATGCTGTTAGTCAAATTCTTATACTTTATGTGGAGGTTGCAGAGCAACCCGATTCCAATAAGTAATCTTGAGCAGAATTTGAAATCCCAATTTCTTCATTCATTTTATTCGAAGGATCATGATATGGATGGTTCTTTATTTGCATTATGTCAAGGAGGCATATTATGTTCAGTGGCGGAACCACTTTAGGTTTAGGGTGGGCAATTGCCCCCCTCAAAAAAAAAAAATTTTTATAGAGAAAAAAAATTTTTGCTCCTCCTAAAAAACTCTTTTGTTCTAATTTGTCCTAAAATGTCTATATATTTCTTTAAATTTAATTCTAATATTTTATTTTGTGTTTTTCATGACAATTTAATTATACTTTTTTTCTTTATTTTTCTTGTTTAATTTTTTTAAATAATTTATGTATTGTACTTGGCCCTCCTCAAAATTGAAGCTGGTTCCGCCCCTGATTATGTTGTAGAGGAAGGAGCAGGACCTTCTAGTCGGCAACCTTTAAGTTTGGATGAAGTGTATGAAACAATGAATAGTGGATCTAGCAAGTATAAATCAGACGATGATGATAATGAATTTATCCCTCCTTAATATGATTGAAGCAAATTTAGATGTAAATGGTGATATACATGTGGTCGTTCAAAGTTATTGTTATATGATCATTGACACTGAGGAAGGCATAATTGCGAAGAATGATTTCGTACGTATATGTAGAAGTACCCATGAATGGGATCAAGAAATAACTTTTGATGTTGGGGACTCGCAAAAATAAATAGAAGAGAATTTTCAATTTCAAAAGAATTAGTAGATGGGGATGCATTTTTAGTAAGAAAGCAAACTTAAAATTTACATTGCAAGGATAGACTATCATCAATAACATAGAGTAAACTGTTTTTTCCTCAAACAAGCAGAAGCTTATAGTTTTTTTTTTTTTTTTTTTTTTTTTGCAACATACAAGTCCAATCCTTATCGCGGATCACTGTCGGAGCACTCTATCTAGAAGGTGTCACCCCACTCTCTTCCAACTGATCAATGGAACTCGTGACATCATATTTCCTCAGTTAAAAGATAAATCGGGGCAACCTGAGTTCGAAATCTTTGCGGTGTACGGAACCCAAGTCACTTATGTTGTGGCAATGAAGTGAGGAAATAACGATTAGTATTTCAAATAAAAAACCTAATGCAATAATAAAATATAAATGAATATTAATCAATCTGTCAAGCACATCTCTATATGTGGCAATATTTTTAATCAGTAAGTGCCTTAAGCGGTCCTTGTTCCATCTGTGGACAATCTAATATTAATTTCTACAACAACCTTATAAAGTATAAATGTTATAGTTACATGGGAAAGTTTTCATACCTGGCACCTACACTTAGACCGTCAAGCTGAGATGGGTATGGAACATGAAGTGAAGGTTTGCCCACATGAACATGCTCCCACGCCCATATTTACAATAACTAAATGCTAGGGCTGCAAGCGAACCAAACGTTCGACAAGCTACTCGTTGTTCGGTTCGATTAAAGCTCGTTTAATTAGCTAAACAACCAAACTTGAATAATATTTTAAATACTCGATTCTTAAATAAACAAACTTGAACACTAACGTATTCGGCTCATTTATGTTCGCAAACAACATCATTTGAAGTTCGTGAATAAGCTTGACATTAAGCTCGATAAAAGTTTGATTCGTGTTCGATTTTAAACTCGTGAATAAGCTAGATAAAAATAATTAATATTTGACTATAAAATTAATAAATATAAATAATCATTGCCTTTATTACATAGACAATTGCTTTCATTATAAATGTGTTTGTTCATAGATATGTTCATGAAAGTATTTGTTTGATAGTTAAAAAAAATTCATTAAATATGTTCGCGAGCAAGTTAGATAAGCACTAAACGAACGAACATGAACTAAACATGAACCGAATATGAACACTCATTAATTTAAATGAACCCAACATGAACACAAACAATAAAGCTCGAACAAACATGAACCAAACTTGAACAAGCTGATATTAAATGAACACAAACATGAACACTCACATACTCGACTCGGCTCGGTTCGTTGGCAGCCCTACTAAATGCGGTATGTTATATTTTTCCTTTTGGGCCTAGTGGCTTCAATCAACTCCCTGTATAAATGGGCTAAGACAGCACCTCCAAGTAAGCAGGTCTTGAAAATTAGAATACCCTCCAGTAACAATAAGTATTGTAAATAAATCTCAGATCCTAAAGTGTCAAGTCAAAGGTGGAATCCAACCATGAATAAAATATATGCTCACAAAATTCTCAAGAAATCTATCTCTAATAGGTCAAGATATGAATCCCTCTAGAAAGTCCAGCACAGCCATCTAAGTGGAACACACGTCTGAGCATGAGCTTGACCCATTTTGAATTTTGAACTTATGTGTGTATCAATGGGGTCATAGTAAATAATATCTGGATTTATGAGAAGACCTAATAAGTCATCACAGTAGTCAGGACATGTGCTCCACCATCTACATGTACCAATCATGTTGTATCCAACAAGAGTTGGGCCGTCTAGCTGAATACCCAAAATCATAGAGACATCCTGCAATGTGATTGTCATCTCTCCAACTGGCAAGAGGAATGTGTTGGCCTACGGTGATCATCTTTCTACCAAAGTTGTCCATGAATGGTGATCCATTTGTACGTACCTCATCTGACTGATGCAATCTACTCCAACAACTCGTAATGCATTCATGAATCTTGGACAGTTAACTAGCTAATTTAGCACAATATGTAGATAGGAAGTGGCATCAAGTATCGTGCCATGGAATTCATATTTTAACTTAGCAGTCAGAACAAATAAATATATTGACTAAAGTAAAAATCATTTCTTCCATGCCTCATATGGATGAGAAACTTGGTGGCTACCACGGAGTGAAGCGATATTCGGATGTATGTTATGTATAATTGGTTGTGTGAGCTATTTCACATGAGTTTTGCACCTTCTGAGGCGTCGTGATGCTCTATCAAGAGTGGTTGTTATGATGCCTGAGAGAAAATAAGGTTAAGCATTTAATAATATTGTAATTATGGAATACTAAAAAATAAAAAAAATGAAATATATGATATGATGAAACAAACGAAAATAAATAATACACAATAGTGCATAATTTGACACATTTAATGTTATGCAAGAAAAGAAGTTATCTAATCAAACACGTAGAGTTGTTGTGTCCCACTGAGTTGCACAAACCACATTTTTAGCTGCTTGTTTCTATAGCGATTAACTCGTGGTCTACCAGATCATCTCCTGAAATTTGGTGGGAGCAATGGGTGAACCCCAAGGTACAGGTTGTGAGATGTCCATGTATCTCGATCAGAAATGTTGTGAAATTCACCACTATAAGTTTTTTTGTAGTTAGTTAAGGTACAATACTCTACATCCATAAACAAATTGAATGTTTTATATGACTCCTACCAACTACCAAAGATAGCCTTAACATCCTTACGTCTTGCATCTCATGCTTTCATGTAAAACACTTTGATATTAAACTTAGCTTCAAAACGACTTATAATCAAGGTTTTATGTCCATCAAATTTCTAAAACTTGATAGTATAAAGTAGCTTAAGAAGTGAGAATTAGTCGTCATATCATATAGACTTGTTATTTCCCACTGAGTTGCACAAACCACATTTCATACCGCTTATTTTACTTGATTCATCCATAGTATTCTTATAGCGATTAACTCGTGGTCTACTAGATTCTCCTGAAATTTGGTGGAGCAATTGGTGTACCCCAAGGTACGTGTTGTGAGACGTCCATGTATCTCGATTAGGAATGTTGTGAAATTCACCACTATAAGTTTTTTTGTAGTTAGTTAAGGTCTTATACTCTGCATCTATAAACAATTTGACCGTTCGATATGACTCCTCCCAGCTACCAAAGATAGCCTTAATAGCCTTACGTCTTGCATCCCATGCTTTCATGTAAAACACTTTCATATTAAACTTAACTTCAATACGACTTATAATCTCTTTAGGTTTTATGTCCATCTGATTTCTAAAACTTGATAGTATAAAGTAGCTTAAGAAGTGAGAATTAGTTGCCATATCATATAGACTTGTAATTTCCCACTGAGTTGCACAAACCACATTTCATATTACTTGTTTTACTTGATTAATCCATAGTATTTTTATAGCGATTAACTCGTGGTCTACTCGACTGTCTCCTGAAATTTGGTGGAGCAATGGGTGTACCCCAAGGTACGTGTTGTGAGACATCCATGTATCTCGATTAGGAATGTTGTGAAATTCACCACAACAAGTTTTTTTGTAGTTAGTTAAGGTCATATACTCTACATCTATAAACAAATTGACCGTTCGATATGACTCCTCCCAGCTATCAAAGACAGCCTTAATAGCCTTACGTCTTGCATCCCATGCTTTCATGTAGAACACTTCCATATTAAACTTAACTTCAATACGACTTATAATCTCTTTAGGTTTTATGTCCATCTGATTTCTAAAACTTGATATTGATGATTTTAGAATCATTTTTATTTAAATTGATGCGAAATTTTTTATTTTTGTTATTATTTTTTGTTTTGGTGTTTTTAATAATTTTAGTGGTAACTCGAAGGTTTTGGTGAAAATTTAGATGAGATTTAAAGAGATTCAACCTAAATTGTAATTTGAATGAGATTGTATTAAAATTTGAGGGATCTTACAAATTTTAGAATTTTATTATTGATAGTGTACCAATTTGTTTATTTTTTATTTGCGTTAATGTCATTTAGATAATTTGTTTTGTTCATGGTAATAATGTGTATCTTCAAGAGGAAAATAAACTTTATGGAAATATAATATTATTTTAGGATGGATTTTAAGTTTAATTTGCATTAAAATTGATTTTTTTTAATTTTTAAACATAATTAATAATTTTAAATCCCATCTTTGGCCATTGGTGCAAGAAACATCACATCTATCTATTATCATCATCTTAGGATCTATTTGAGATGAATGTAATACATTGTAAATGTAATTGTGAAGTGTTTCAATAATTTTTTTTTTTTTTAACTATTGTGATATTATAAATATATTCCTTTTGAAAAAAAATGTATGATGGCTATATTCTTATAGGTATCACATATTAACAGATTTGATTGTAAAAAGTTATTTGCAAGAGTGAATAAGCTGTTGGACCTAATGATATTCCAATAGAAGTGTGGAAATGCTTAGGAGATGAAGGAACTTATTGGCATACTAAACTTTTTAATATTATTTTTGAAGACTAAAAAGATGTGAGATGAGTGTGTTGATTCATATTTTTAAAAATAAAGTTGATGCACAAAATTGTGCGAATTATAGAGGAATTAAGTTAATGTATTAGATATGGAGAGAGTTATGGAGCATATGTTGCAGCGTGACATTAATGTTTCTCAAAATTAATTTGGATTTATGCCAAGCAGGTCTACTATGGAAGCTATACATTTTTTAAGAGGTTTGATGGAGAAGTATAGAGTAAATAATGAGGATAAACATATGATTTTAATTGATTTAGAGAAAGCATATGATAAAGTTCATAGAGAAGTGCTATGGAGAGTTCTGCATAAGAAAGTGGTTAATAATGCTTATATTCAAGTCATTAAGGATATGTATGCATAAGCTATTACTTGTGTTCAAACACAAGGTGGTTTGACCAAGTATTTTCCTATTTAGTTGGATTACATCAAGGATCATTCTTAATCCCATATCTTTTTGGTTTAGCCATGGATGTTCTACCTAGGCATGCAAGAGGTTGTACCCTGGTGTATGCTTTTTGTTGATGATTATCTTCTTATTGATAAGACTGGAGAGGGAGTTGAAGGTAAACTTGAATTATGGAGGTCAACCTTAGAGTCTAAAGGCTTTCGTTTGAGTATATCTAAAATTAAATATATGTAGTGTAATTTTAGTCATAATAAATCTAGTAGAGGGATTGTGACTTTGGGCAACCAAATTATTAATAAAAGCACATGTTTTAAATATCTTGGGTCAATTGTTCAGGTGATGGTGAAATAGATTAAAATACTATTAGTATAATTCAAGTTGGATGGTTGAAGTGGAGGAATGCATCGGGCTTGTTATGCGATAGAAAAGTTTCTCTCAAAATTAAGGGAAAATTCCATAATATGGTAGTGAGACCTACAATGCTTTATGGTGCAGAATGTTGTCCATTAAAAGAGAGGAATAATATTTAAGTTAAGTGTGCAGAGATGAGGATGCTTGGGTGGATGAGTGGCTTTACTCTTAAAGACAGGATATGAAATGAGCATGTACGTAAAAAGGTTGGAGTAGCTCAAGATGGTTTGGCCACATAAAACGACAGCCTTTCGATGAACCGATTAGGAAAGTAGATGTATTAGATTTGACTTATATTAAGAAAGGTTGAGGTAGACCTACAAAAACTTGGTTAGAAAATATTAGATATGACCTTTCTTTATTAAATTTAGATGAGAATTTTATCATTAACATGACACAATGGTAAAAAAAGATTCATGTAGCCAACCCCATAGTGGGATAAAGGCTTTTTGTTGTCGTTGTATCAAATAAAATGATTCATGAAACACAAAATTGTAATCAGAAGCAAAGTGTTGTGGCATTATAAGAATTAGTGGATGATATTGATTTCTCAGTATATGAGTTTTAAGCTATTTGATGATTTTCACAACAATAAGTGAAGCCAATACATTGTTTGTTTCATTAATATTTCAAGCGACTCTTGTTCTATCAGTGCCTGAGCCGCACTCACTTGATGAGCACTAGCCCATGCATATTCATGTTAAGTCAATTTTAGGCATATACGAACCCGATTCACCAACCCGAATTGACTCCTCTAGGGTCAAATCATAATATGAATATTGCACAAATTTTATTTCAACTATGCATGAGCTTGTATTAGAATAAAAATGTATGTTTCAAATAAAATTCAAACTTCAAACAATATTATAATATGGCTCAAAATTGTCTCATATTATCTCTATCTAATTTGTTTGAGCTTTATTAAAATCATGTTTAAATAAATTTAGGTAATGTCTGATTTTAATAAGTACTTCAAAGCTGGATTATTTAATAAAAAAGAAACTTTCCGATAGATAGGTATATAATAATAATAATAATAATAATAATAATAATAATAATAATAAGAGGAAGGTATATTTATTCGAATTTATATATTATTTGGAATATTTTAATATTAAAAAAAATCAAACCAAATTGAATCAGTAGACGAGAACGTACACGGAGTTTCGAGAGAGGGTTAAATCCTCTTCGTTTTCCTTTTCTGCCTGTTCTGCTTCGCGTAAAATTATATATAAAGTTATATTAATTAAGCTAATTATATTAATATTAATTACTAATTATACAATTAAGTTAAATCTAGATAATTAATTTATGCAATAACTATACAATTAGTTATTTAATTAATTTACTTAATTATTAATAATTTAAATTATGTTAATTAAATTAAGTTAATCAATAATAACACAAGGCGTCTAGGTTTGCCTTTCATCCTCTGTTTTCGTCCTTGCTGCTCGGCTTCGTTGCTTTGCAGGAGGTGTATAGATTGCACGCGTCGCTTCTTCGGCTCCTTCCTTGCTATTCGACTTCGCTCCTTCTACGACTTTCCCTCCTGTCCGATCGGAAGTTACGACATTTTGATCGGAAGCAAGAACAGGAGCTCGCTAGCTGTGAAGGTAACTTTCTCTCTTTCGCGCGCTTATTCGGCTAAATCCCGTTAAATCCACCGAACCGAGGGATTTAGTAAATCCGGGATTTAAGCCGTAAATCCCTAAATTCGGGATTTCTGAAATCCCGAGATTTAACGCGCGCACAAAAACCGTTTGGCTGGATTTAGCGTAAATCCGACTTAAATCCCAACATAAATCCGATACCAAACAGCCCCTTTAACTTTGTATTTTTTGGCGTTTGGCAGGATTTAGTTCAAATATTGCCTAAATCTGGCCTAAATCCCGCATCCAAACAGACCCTAAGTCCGTCATCCATTGCTTCGTTCTTCCGAAATCCGCACCTTGATCGGTTTATTCTAATGGCGGACGACAGCAGCTCATCGGCCCCTACGAAGACCGAGAAGAAGTCCTGGGCTGACGAGGAATCCGACGAAGAAGTCACATCACCTGCCGATCCGCCCCTAGGCGGCAGTAAAGATGTGGAGCAGTTGGAGCTCAACAAGATCGCCCTAGGCGGCAGTAAAGATGTGGAGCAGTCGGAGCTCAACAAGATCGCCCTAGGCAGTAGTAAAGATGTGGAGCAGTCGGAGCTCAACAAGATCGAGTCCCTCTCCATATCCGAGGATAAGGGCAAAGAAAAGGATGAGGATAGGGATGGCGGGGATGGGCTGCTTGACAACCCGGAGGATTCAAACATCAAAGCTGTAACAAGAAAATTAAATTCAAGATAGCTTCTCTTATTGCTTGATTTTATGGTTTTGATTCAAACTTATTGGCCTTTAAAATTTTCATACAGGTTACGACTGGGGATTCAGTTTATTCATCGGCCACGCGTTTTGAAGATCTGAATCTGTCAAAGGACTTGCTTAAGGGAATATATACGGAGATGAGATTTCACAGGCCTAGCAAGATTCAGGCCATAAGCCTTCCAATGATCCTCACCCCACCGTATAAGGATTTAGTTGCTCAGGCTCATAATGGTTCAGGAAAGACTACATGTTTTGTGCTTGGTATGTTGAGTCGGGTTGATCCCAACAAAAAATTGCCTCAGGCTATGTGTATTTGTCCTACGAGGGAACTAGCCCAGCAGGTTTGAGTATAATAGATTTTGATTTTTGTGTTTCATTCATATTAGCGAGTTTTTTTTTTTCCTAACTTGTTTGCAATGTCGAGCAGAATCAAGCTGTTCTTTTAAAGATGGGAAGGTTCACAGGCATAACATCTTTTCTGGCTATCCCTGCTGATTCTGCTAATTATGTCCCAATCTCTAAATTGCCACCTGTGACTGATCAAGTGGTGATTGGCACTCCGGGTACCATCAAGAAGTGGACATCGGCTAAAAAGCTGAGCACTAGAGAAATTAAGATTCTTGTTTTTGATGAGGCAGATCACATGCTAGCTGAGGTATCAATTTCATCCTGCTATCTTTTCCTAACATACCAGCATGTTCATCACAGAACTTAATATAATTAAAAAGGTTCATCACAGGTCTCCTTATTTATTTTCTTGGTTATTGTGGGAATTGCATGATTGGTCCGGTGTAACAGTACCTTAACACTACTTTATTTTTTTGGCCCAATCACAACTTGTTTGTTAGTTCTGTAGGAACTATTCGTTGGACGTGCCACTTTGAAGTTCTAGGACCTTTAATTGATTAGGAAAAATATCCCTTTTTATAGCTTTTCCATTGCATTTTGTATGAGATAGTTTCTTGTTAGGATGAGGATTCTTATTATATCTGAATTTTATGATGTTTTTTATGTGTTACTATTAGTTTTTTAATAAGTTTTGTTATTTTCAATGAAGTTTTCTTATGGTCTTTAATAGTTTTATTATTTCCCTTCTAAGGAACTAGCATTTTAAAGTTTTAGACCAAATTATGGGAGCATCACTCATTTTGCATTGCCAGTTAATCTCACTTTCATGTGGCTTTTCTCTTGGTTTGCTTATAGTTTGGCTAATCCCGTTTACAAGATCAAAAAAGTTGTGGTTATGATTACAAGGAAGGCTAGTAGTTGTAGTGAGGAAGTGAACAAATTACCATTGTAGTTTTAGGCATGCTTGGATAGAGTTTTTTATTAGGATAGATGCATCCAAGATAGAGTTTTTTATCTGTTGTTTTTCAAATTTTATGCATATGACGTGAATTCTTATTGTTCACTTCACAGTTTTTTAAAAAATATTCTACGCTGAATTTATTTTTGAGTCAGGTGTTTGCCAAAATCATAGTCTTGGTATTTAATGGTTCAAAGTCAGATTTTAGCTCTTTTCTTTGGCTACTATAATTGCTGTTTTTTCAATACTTAGTTGGGCTTTCCAAGGAATATAATTAAGTGTTAACCTGCTTTTAGGATTATACATTTAGCACCTGAAGAAGAACAGTTCATGCTAATCCATTCAACCGCACTACAGTATTTAATGCATATTATTCACTCAGTTTCTTAACATCGATATTTTTTCATTCCGATACAATCACTAAGGTCCATTTTGCAATGTGTTGAGCTCTGTTGTGCTTTTTTGTATGGGGTTGCACTGTGATGTTAGCTAAAGTAGATGAATGTTTAATAAAACCACATTTAAGATTTAGAATTAAATTGTTGTTAGAGCTTAAGCTGTTTGGTAAATGGTGCTATACTATCTGAGTTGTTTAAATGATCAAAATGAGTATGATTAATTATTGTATATATTATTGACCTGTTTAATTTATATTATCATTATTTACCTGGCTGATTAAATACCTTAAAGTACTACTTAATACCTATAAAAATATTTTCATCAATTAATTAATGTATGCTTGATTATAATAATCTATTATTATAAAGATTATCCTAATAAATTCTTAATTTAATTTATAAATCTGCTGTCATATTTATGAATTAGTACTCAATTAGTTTGGCTATTTATTTTTCTGTTAATTAATTTGGAAATAATAAGGGATTCTTTTGATCTTAATAATTATATAATAATTAATTTGACTAAATTATCCTTAAGTACCTTAATTAATTAAATAATAATTGTCAGCTGGGACATTTTCATAAAAAGCAATAAAAGATGAAATCAGAATGACATTTTTTATGAAGCCAATCTAACATCGTTTCAAAGAGGGCTGTTCTTGGCTTCATAAAGCTAGGATTTTTATTGAAACAATTGGTCAAACACCCAAAAACGGCTTTTGATGTTCTAAATAGCATAAGAAGAAATATAAAAAGCATAAACAATCAGTTCCCATGTCTATCGGGTTATTTCTCTCTAAGCATTCATAATATTTTCCTTGAAACACTGATTTTAAAGATGGTAGAAGCTTAAATGCACTTTGTACGGAGTTATACACTTAAAATTTTCTTTCTTGCATAAACCTACATGTATTCTTAATACATTTTTGTTGTTGTAGTTTCTCTATAAGTCTAAATTGATACAGTTCTATTAGTTATAGTGGACATTTGGCTTTTCTTTAGGGGAATTTACATAAATAAACACCTTTTTTTCTCTATTTACTTAATACATAATGATTAATACTTACTAATATAATACTCATTTCTTTTAAGTAACATAGAAACATTGCTTTTACTCACCATCATCACTAAACCGTTTTTCTAGCCTAAGCAACTCACAGTTTTAAGAAACAAAAGCTCCTCTCATTCTAGTCCCACTTCTGGCTCTTTGCCATTACCATCCAGGCATCCTCTGTTCCATTCCATTCTCTTCCTGTCACTGTGATAGGAAGTACTTGAGTTCGCAAGTAATCCTATCGGATTTACTTGAGTTCGCAAACAAACCTAATCAATAATTAGTAAAACAGTGAGAAAAACAAAAGAAACGTGGTGGAAGAACAAACAAACGATAGCAAACTCTTATAACAATCAACGGGAAACAAAAACAAAGCAAGATACAAGAGATCCTCAATTCGAGAGGAGGATCGTCTCTCCCAAATCTCTAGACAAGGTTGTCTAGAGCCCAAGCCTCCAAGAAACCCTAATTGCAATCAATCAAAACATACCCCCTCCATAATTCCCTCATGCACTTTAATACCCAAACCTTCCTAAACTGAATTCCCTCCTAAACTCCTAAACTCCTAGCCGCTCACCCTCTATTCCAATTTCAAAATTATTTAGATGGGGCGGGCCCCACCTGTTTGGCGGAACCCAGGGAGGAGGCGGAACAATTCCGCCTCCTATAGTAATATTGAGCCGGCCAATGGGTCTGCTGGGCCGGCTCTATGTGAAACAGCGTAACACACTGTATGCAATTGGGACTTGGGAGATAGTTGTGAGGTCGGTGCTGCATCCAACATTTCTTGCTGCATACCAATTAGAAAATTATTATAGGAGGAAAATATTTTGTTTTTTAAACTTGAAAATAATTATTATTTCTTATAGGAGTGTCAATAGAAGCCAGCACTTCATGCTGGAGGTACTGTAACTTGCATACCGCTCTGTTAATAAAATAAACAATGAATTAGTTTGCAATCTAAAATTAGAAAGATGCAAAACTGCGGACAAAGATCTGGTGGCACCTATTGCATTCTACTCTGCTATCTAGAAAGAATGAAACCACAGAGATGCTATAACATAGGGGAAGAAGAGAAAGAAGTGAGAGGAAATAAGTTTTTAGTTCATTAATTTAAGCTCGAGCGTGAAGAATGGGACAAGAAGAAATAGTGGTGGATGGATGGACAATGAATATTGGTTTGTTTTAGCCATGGTGGTTAGGAAGAATGGTAATTTTTATGTTATTTTACTAATTGAGTGACCCTCAAGTAAATATGAAGTAATCGGTTTTAGATTTATATATTAATTGTTAGTCACTAAAAATAATTTTATACCATTCACATTATCCTAATCAGAATTTTTTAGTGTCTGCATCATTGCAGTACAAAATATAATTAATATCCTAGTGGTGACAAAAGAAATCACAAGAAAGGTGTTTTTAGTTATTTTGTTTCTTTTTGAGTGCTTACAGCTAATGCTATTTGGTTTATGCCTGCTTGAGATTATTTTGATAATATATATGGGGGGATGCATTAAAACTTTTTGCGAACTCCAGCAATTGTTGAAACTTATTTTTTGCTTAAGACAAAGGAAAGTTTTTTAAGGACATTTATTTGAATGAGTTTTCTTGATGTAGGATGGTTTCAGGGATGATTCTTTGAGGATTATGAAAGAGATACAAAGTAGCAGCACAGCAGGCTGTCAGGTATGTCTTATTAGCCAAGGCTTCCTTCCCTTTCAAGTTCAATCTTCATTTGCCTAAGGAAGTTGATTTCATTACACTTTGTTAGCTAAGGTTCCTTCACTTTGAAGAATCACAAGTTGATTTCCTTCACTTTATTAGCTAAGGTTTTAATAGGCCACAATAAGCACCAATTCTGAACCAGATTTCCAATATTTGTTACCCGTCCCATGGTTTGTACCAAATCTCAATTTAATTTCTATCAATTACAAGCTTGTAAGTACTAGTAGCATTGGTAACTACTAACTATGCTTCAATTATAGCTGTATTGGTTGTTCATTTCTACAACTTTGAAGTTTTCAAATCATAATTTCATTTATCTTGTTAGGGTTTTTGTTGGGAAGCAATTTCCAAATAGTTGAAGTGTCAACTTGTAATTGGCAGATTATTAGGTTCGATACTTGTTGGAGGCTAGTCGATAGTGAAATTGAGTTTTTTAAGTTTTGCTTAGGTTTCATATGTGTTGGAAATAGAGAAAAAGCTAAAATAAAATCCCTTGGCTATTTGTTTGATTATACAAAATGAATCTCAAAATGATCTCTTATGTAGAAATTGATGGAAAATGAGATACAAAGTTTATCCCTATTTAGTTTCCGATTATGCAAAATTGATCCCAATTTATTTCATGAGGGATCATTTGAGATCAGTTTTGTATAGTCGATGGATTAAATTGGAAAAATATGATACTTTGAAACTAAATTGACAACATATGAATACTTAGACATATTTTGAGCTTTTTTCCCATTGGAATATTAGGATTATGAAGTATTACTTATCGCACTAGTTTCAGGAGCTTTCAGTAGTCATTGCCACCTGTCATCTCTAGAGTTGGATGTGGTATTGTTCTTATGTATCTAACTAATCTACAAACATAACCCCTCTTTCTGGTTTTTGTTCCCATATGTGTGATTTGATGAGTTTGAACTAAACATTTTTGTCCCTCTTCTGCTAATCATCATCAGGTACTTCTGTTTTCTGCCACATTTAATGATGCAGTCAAGGAATTTGCATTAAGGGTTGTTAAGAATGGAAATCAGTTGTTTGTGAAGAAAGAAGAGCTCACACTTGATAAAGTGAAGCAATATAAAGTTTACTGTCCTGATGAACTTGCCAAAATTGATGTCATAAAAGATAAGATATTTGAGTTTGGGCAAAAGGTGGGGCAAACTATAATATTTGCGCATACAAGGAATAGTGCCAGAATGTTACATCAGACATTATCCAAAGATGGGTACGAGTGTACAGCAGTTCAGGGCGCCTTGAGTCAAGAACTTAGGGACAAGATTGTCAAGGAATTCAAAGATGGATTGACAAAAGTCCTCATAACAACAGATCTCCTTGCTCGAGGCTTTGATCAAGCACAGGTATCCATCTCATACTCTTTTTTTTATAATAATCTGGTTAATTTTTGCACGGTTATTTTATGATCCACGCTGCCTACTCCAGGTTAATTTGGTTATCAACTTTGATCTTCCTGTTAAGCATGATTTCCCGTCAGAGCCTGATTATGAAGTTTATTTGCATAGAATTGGTAGAGCTGGACGTTTTGGACGCAAAGGTAATCTTCATACCCTGTTTCCTTCTTTACAGCTTGTTTTGTTGCCATATTTGCAAACTTTTTGCTTGCAATATATGAATTTAATGTATCCCTTTATTCTGTTTACTGCATATTTCATTACGTAGCCTGCAATAATACCTTCCGTAAAGTCGCCATTGATTTCTTGTTGCTCTGCATCCATTGTACTGCAGAAATGTGATATATTTATACATTGCGTGAATTTGCTGTGGATATATTTTTATTATGTTCATTTTTTACTGTCATTATTTTATTTTCTTAAATTGAATTGAATAAATGTTGGAGATATCTGCTAAATTTGTGTTTTCCTATAGTTGGCAACTTGGCATCAAATTTGTGTGTTCTCATTGTTAAACCAGACTTTAAGGCTCCTATATTGTACACAGTGAAGTGACCTGAAAATAGTTACCAACAAAATTTCAATTAGTAATGCGAGAGATCCTATGCATTGTGAAGATAACTAATATATACGTAAATAAAATCAAGAATTTGAGTCCAAATTTTCTCTTCATTGTTCCTGCCTTGTCTTATTGTCCACAAAAGAGTACACAATATGTATTTCTTTTTGCGAACTAGAATTTTTTTTTTAGGTTCCAAATTGCAAACATTAAAGTTAAAAAAGAATAACATGGGCACCACATTACTAAGTAAAATCTATTTTCTAATCATTTGAATGTTAAATAATATGGGCACCACATAAACTTCAAAATAAGTATTTAAACAAGAATACAAGAAGTTTGTGGCTACAAAGCTCGTTGTAGTAGAGTAAAAGTAATGTGATCTATAGCTATAGAAGCCAACTATGGGGCAAGAATTAGTAGCTCGATAACCTCAAGTGCTAAGGGGAATTCCAAAGTGCCCTCTTCTTTTGACTGATAGAAAATTTTTTGGTTATAGTAGAAAGTGGGGAGTGAAAACACCTATCTAGAAGAGAAAGCATATTACATCATGAATGGTTGAAAAGAGAATTTAATCTTCTGAATTGACTTAAAATTTAGCAAATAAGAACAAAAGAATATATGGAAAGATGGAAATGACAATTGGGAAAGATGATAATAAGAGTAGAATCCGATGAGGTTGGATTCTACTGGCTCCTGGTCATGCTTCGAAGTTGTAACAAGTGAGGACTTCTCGTCTAAAGGTCTTTTTTTTTATGAATAAAAATTTAAAGAGTATTCCAATAACTACGCATCTTTTTATTATAACATGGATGAGCATAAAAATAATAAAATGCCCTACTAGTCTAGAATTAAACTAAAATTTTTAATTTTCAAACCAGCTAGAACATACCTCTTAAGTTCATAGCAACATAATATAATGGGAACTCCATCATACCTTGTATTATGATATTAAGTGGAAGGCTCATTTTAGGAGTCTTAGCTTGTGTTATTCAATTTCGAATCTTACATTAAACCTGTTTTAAGGTAGCTCAAGCATACTCAAGATGAAGATCTGGGGCTGCAAGTGTGTGATATGTGGAGGTTTGTTGTAAGATATATCATCAAATGATGATACCCAAGTCCAATACAAGTCTAACTTTGTCCTTTGTTCTTTATGTAAAGATGCATAGAACAAAACAATGGGTACTAATGCATTAAATTTATGATGAGTCATGTGTTAATCTTAATAGATTTAGCTTGAATGTTTATTGCTCAACAATGAACATTAATGTCTATCTTTGAAATTCAATTAAATTAAAATTACTCAAAACATATAGAAACCTGATGTGAAACAAACATGCGAATGTAGTTACTTTAAGAAATTAAAGAGAGCAATTTTAACAAAATAATCCAAAATAAAATTATCACTTATAACAAAGATTGATCCTTGGAGTTCTCAGTTTTTAACTTGCTTAGGCAAAGAAGAGCGGAGACTAACTATTACATGAGAAAATGGCCTTAAAAATAGGCCTCAAAATGACAAAGAAGCAAAAGACTAAAATGCCCCTTGGGCTACAATAGCTACCAAATACCCATGAGGGCAAAAACGGAAAAACATAAAATAAAAATAAACTACATAAAATGATGAAAATACAGATCATGATCGTGGTCGTCGATCTCCGACATCTCCTGAAGGTACATGTGTCGAAATCGCTGCTGATGTCCCCGTCAAAACCTCTCTATAAAGCAGTTAAATAAAGTAGGGATGCAATGCGAATATATTGAATTTGATCATTTAGACTTTAAGCTTCACATTGATTCTACTTGGCTTGAAAGAATCCGGCTATATTCTAAGGTAGGTTAGACTTTCTCAAATAAAAATCTGGGATTGCAACAAAATATGTGATATATGGAGTTTTGTTGTAAGGTATATCTTCAAACTATGATACCCAAGTTCAATCCAAGTCTAATTTTATCCTTTGTTCTTTACGTGAAGATGCATAGTTCAAAATAATGGGTGCCTGGAATATTAAATTTATGATGAATCATGTGTTAGGCTCAATAGATCTAGGTTGAATGTTTATTACTCAGCAATGTGCATTAATGACTACCTTTGCAATTCAACTAAATTAAAATCACTCAAAAACATATAGAAAAACTCGCTAAATCAGTGAATTAACATAGGGATGCTATGCAAATATGTTCAATTTGATCATTGTAGACATTAAGCTTCACAAGTGATTCTATTTAGCTTGAAAGAATCTGACTCTACTTTATGATAAAGATCTGGGATGGCAACAAAGTGTGTGATATATGGAGATTTGTTGTAAGGTATATTGTCAAACGATGATACCCCCCAAGTTCGATTCAAATCTAACTTCATCCTTTGTTCTTTATGTGAAGATGCATAGTTCAAAACATGGTTTAAAATTGCGCAATAAGAGGCGCGCCTCAACGCAATTTCATCTCTTTAAGCCTCAAAGCCTACGCAATGAGTTCGGGATATGAGGCGTACACCTCAAGTTTACTAAGGCGCACCTCGCCTCACGGCTGAGAGGACGCCTCTAAAAATTAAAAAAAAAAAAAAAAAAGCTAATGTACATGCTCGGTACCGCTAGGTACATGCTCGGTGCCGCTCAGTACATGCTCGGTACCGCAGGGGCGTTGCCCTTGACCTTGCGACATATAGAATGTACACGCAAGGTCGAACCCCGCGAGGGGGTAGCGCCCCCTTGGACCCCCGACAGATCGGGGATATTTTGATTTCACTTCGTATCTTGTACATTTTTATGTTTTATATATTATTTACTTATTAGTATATACAAAATTTATCATTTTATGTTTACACAATTTTTTGGTTTTGAGGTTTACGCTTCAAAACACCTTTGAGGCTTACGCCTCAAAACGCCTTTGAGGCTTGCGCCTCACCTCACGAACGAAAAACACACCCGATTGCGCAATTTTAAACATTGGTACAAAACAATGGATTCTAGTACATTAAATTTATGATGAATCATGTGCTAGGCTCAATAAAAATTAGATTGCATGTTTTTTTTTTACCCAGAAATGGGCATTAATGACCATCTTTGCAATTCAACTAAATCAAAATTACTCTAAACATATAGAAAGCCTTGCTAATTTTATAGAAAACCTTGCTATAAATTAGTTAAATAAAATAGGGTTGCAATGCAAATCTATTGAATTTGATCACTGTAGACTTTATATGCTTCACATGGACTCTACTTGGCGAGTTGGCGTGAAAGAATTCGGCTCCAATGAATTTCGTTGTTGATAGTCCTCCAATATGTTAGGACATAGGCATTGTAGTTCCTTCATAAATACTAGAGTCCAGAAGTTTGAGTTGATAATGTACATTGGTAACAAATCCCATTGATGGTGGTGATCATTACTTCATCTAGAATTTCTGCTGGCTAAAGATCAAACTACAATTTGTATCATTCCTTTATAACCATAGAAGTATTGATGAAATAATGAATAGGAAGCTAGTTAATGGACAGGTCATTACTTTGATTGGTGATTCAGGATTAAAATTTCATATTTGTCTTATTGAAAATGACTAATGATTATCCTTTTAGATTTCTAACTCGTATACTCTGACTCCAAAACATCACAAAACATTTTATGAACTTGTCCATTACAGCGATAACTTATTTGGAGGTCCTTGAGAAAATATCTATTTGAGTGTAGGTGAAGCTTCACCAGACCACCTCCCCTGTTTTCATGATACCTTCAATCTATGTTTGTAGCAGCTTTTTTTATTTAGTGTTGATGTATTGTAAAATATATATTCAACACTCAATCATAAGTCATTGTGTTTATCAATTTAATCTTTTTTCGATTGTCATTTCATGTATTTTATCATAGTTATAGTTTCTAGTGATACTTGATTTAATCATTATTACTCCAGATATTTTGGGTGACCACTGAATTACACATCCAGACCACTCATTCAATCTAGCTGAACTACATTGTACAATAAACAAAATAATTTACCCTTTCTCAAAACATAACCAGCTTTCATTTCCTAAGTTGTTTATACCACTTTAACACATCACTTTAAAAGCTCCCATCACTTCCGATCCCCACAGTCCATGCCTTAGCCAATGGAAGAAGTTTTTTAGTTGCTTTCCACTTCCTAAGCCTCCATATTCATCCCTATATTCTCTAAAGTATATTTTATACATTATTTTCATGTTTTCTTTATAGCTGGAATATTTTTTGAATCTAACTCCATATATTGCTTTGACTTATTTACATTTTATCATTTTCAATTCATTTGTTTCCTAAATCATCCTTAATTAAATCTTCTAGATCATTGGCCTCATATCCAAAGAGGCTCTGCCATTACACTCGTGGTGAGACCATTAATGTTGGACAACCTCCCATCCAACTGTTAATCAAGCTACTATTAATATTCAACGTTTCATGTAGCCTACAATCAATTTTGTTTGACAGATTTTCCATGTTTTCGAAAGTTACGGCCTGCTCATTTAATTTAAATGTGCTTTCTCATTTCATTTTGATTTCATCGGGATCTTTTATAATGAGATTAGATAAAAACTATGACTATTGTGTCACTTC